CGCGGCCAGGTCTAAAGCCTGCCTGCCTGGCTTTCTCGGGATGGCTGTTCCCGAGCTCCACTCAGGCGTCGGAGAGTTATAGAACCTAGGATTTTGGATATTATGTTCGTCAGGCTGATTCCTCTGTGGTTATCACAAGAGGACTTCTCGCCTTTCTTGAAGACTGGGATAGTGAGTGACTTAGACCAGTCAGAGGGGATCGTATTTGATTCCCATATACTGGCTAACACTTCCGTTAACCTGACTAAGAGCACTCTACCACCATTCTTGTATACCTCAGCAGGTAGTCCGTCTGGTCCTGTTGCCCTTCCTCGTTTCAGGTTACTTATAGCTTTCTCGACTTCTCCTAGTGTTGGGGGGTCTGTCGCTATGTCCCATTCAGGATCCGACTGGATAGCGGGCAACACAATAGTGGCTGGAGACCAGTTAAACTGTTCCTCGAAGTGTTCTGCCCATAGTTCCAGTTGTCTCCCTGTGAGTGAATCTCAGACTCGTCCTTCTCCGCTATAGCCTCACTAACCGTCGTTGACCTTTCCCCCCAATTTCCTTAATAAGTCTAAATTACTGTCTACTGTTACCGATCGTCACTGCCTTTTCCATCTCTTTAGCCTTCGCTGCCCACCACTGATCACGATCGTTGCGCAAACTTTTCATCAGTCTACTTTTAAGTTGCGCTTGCTCTTCATTGTACCCAGAGCCTGCAGGGATGCGTTCACGTGCATCCATTAGTTTGGAAGAAGCTGCTGATATCCACTAGCTCTTTTTAGCCACTCTTTCGGAGTCGGCTACGGTCTTCAGCACTGCTTTTACAGCAGAATCGAGATGATACCAAGCTTCTTCTGGATGATTGATAGTCTTCTGTTCCCAAAACTCCCCAGCCAATTTATCACTGAAAGCGGCTCTAGTGTTCTTGTTCTCGAGCCGCACTCTTAATGGTTTTGTTGTCAAATTTTTCCTCCGTCCTTTCAGAGGTACGCATATACGCGCTCACAACAACGCGTGGTCGCTATTCAAGCATGAACTCCAGAAGGAGCGGCAGTCTTCCACAGATCCTCTCCAGTGATGACTAATAGCAATGTGGTCTATCTGTGTCCATCGCTGAGCTAAGCTCGGTGGATACCACGTCAGACTGTCTTTCTTTATGTCTGAAATTTGCACTAGCTTAAAGTAGGCGGTTATCTGAGCATAGTTGTAGTAGGCAATCACCGTTACCTGTACGTTCAGCCGGGATTCCGAAAGTGCCACCTAAGTGCCTTTCTGCCTCACTCAGTCTACTCACCTGTACATTGAAGTCGCCTGCAACAACCACCACGTTCGAACCCTTGGCTTTCGAGAGGAGGTTAGACAGTTTTCGGTAGAACTCGTCATTCACTTCATCCGAACTACAGTCACTGAATGGGCAAGCAGAGATTACATTACAAAGAGACAACGGCGAATTTCTCTATTCCTTTTAGTTCTCACTGTGCCGTTCAGCCGGACAGCACAGAGGTGACTATCAACTGGGATCCAGTCTAGTAGTGAGTTTTCTGCCCTAGTGCTTAACGTTATGCCTACACCTGCAAGACCGCAAGAACTAGTCATTGAATCTCTAGAAACTTGAAGAGTGCACTTTGCAGATTCACCAGATTGGTCAGTAGAGGTCAGGTGAATAACCACACTTGGGTCCTGTATGAGAGTCTTAAAAACACAGCACACATCCATGGTCCGAGTTGCTAGACTCTTGGCCAATGAAGCCTGCTGACCAATTTAACGGAGGGTGTGGACATTGAAGGTGTATTTTAAGGATATCAAGGATGCTGTTCTGTGGACTCAGATTGTTGTTGAAGGCCGCAGAGCTGGGAGAAATTGAAGATGATGTAGTATCGTTAATTGACAGACGTGAAGAAAGATTAGAAGGTAATGATGAGGGAGATGGATACCAGTCTAAAGAAACTTGAGTGGTGACAGAGTTGTGAGGGCGGTTGACACTTCCCGGATGCCCACACCGTGGAAGGCTATTTATTCTTAAGGTACCTGAAAGAGATTTGTGTAACCGCAGAGCCCATCGGACACCTACTTGAGGCCTGTCACATGTAGCCTTTTGTGTAAGGTTGGTTTGAGCTTTTGTTGCTTTGGGGCCGGATGATCGAGAAACAATAAATGAACCAACACCACTAGCCCGGCAGACCGTGGGGCACAGTGGGGTGTGTTATTTTGGGGGCCGACCTTTTTTAACCCCTCACCCTTTCCACTGAGAAGGCAGCATCAGCATCGCACTGCTTGTCATCCCAAGGGGAAAACCTTACTGCTGTCACAACCCATCCAGCTAGCAACAGTGCGACTTCGCCCTCAGACCCCCATTATAGTGTATTGTAGTAATCTACACCACAATGGTAACTGCTTTTCGTCTAACCACTATCCAACAGACCTCGAGGGAACAAGTGTTCCACCAGCATAGCTCGTTGGGTCATTGTGATATGCAAGCCCGACCACCACGTCAAGGTAGCAGCAATCAATCTGGCATCGAATTCGAGACTAGTCAATTCCTACGAGTTAAAACTAAGACTTAGTGACATGTATAAAAGAGGATGAAAAAACGGTTAGTTTGGATGTAACAAGTCTTTATACTGAAATATCAATACATATGGCATTGAAGACAGAAATCAACTAAATATAGCCTCAGAACTTACTCATAGGACTAAAATATCGGTTGAGGTCAGTTGTGTCTGGCTTCTACAGTCTTTAAGTTTCAAGACAAAATATAAAAACGAAAAAATCAGTGGTGCAGATGTGTTTGATCCCCAACATCTAAAGCTTGAATATTGGCACCAACATTTATCTTCAGGTTACTTATTCTCTTACAATACTTAGTCTAGTTTGATATCAGTCTTCTTATACCCATCTTTTTTTTGTATACTACTTTGGAGTGTAGCAATTTGAGCCGATACACTTGTGTGCAAGGTTATATGTTGATTTCATCTGTCTGTCTGGATAGCTGTGAAGAAATGGCTTTATGAATGTTCTGTCCTAAACTTAAGATACGGTGGTGATATGTGGATGATACATTTAATGTGCTGAAATCGGAACATTGACAATTCCCTCAGATTCATAAACTCAGTAGTAGGTCCAATCCAATTCATTTACGAGGTAGAAAATGAACTGCAGAGTAAAACGAAGAACAGCCAGTGGTTTAGATACCACCGCCCACAGGAAACCGACACATTCTATTAGGTACATAGACTCCATGTCATCTCATCCAACACCCAGTAAAGCAGGTTTAACCAATGTCTGAAAAGAGCTAGAAAACCCAGTATTAGGCACAAAAACTTAAACAATGAATTGAAACAGGAAAGAAAGACTACTAATAATAATTATCCTCTACAGTTTACTTAGAAATTTGTAAGAACACAAGAAGCGAAGTAACAACAGTAATATAAGTACAAATAATATCGAAAATATGAGTAGAAAGGAATTCAACGTCTCTACCATGTTACCGTATGAGGAAAGAACATTAGAAACTTTACGTAGGACCACCTCTTTATAGTGGAACCAAAAAGCAGCTATTCATTCAAAATATCCATAAACGGCTACGAAGATAGGGGATACCAGTGATCCCATGGTAACTTAAGTTTGTCCATATACTTCCTTCTGAAGCTTAAAAACTAAATATATCAGACACAGCTTACAGTACTGAAAACTGAGTATATTAATGGTTATTATCACACATTCAGTAGTGAACGTAATCCAACTTACCTATGAATTGGAAAGTAATGAAGGGGAGTTAGCGATGTCGGTTTACCAGATTAAACGAAAACAAGTTGAAAGTTTAAAGACTAGTATCTATAGGAAACCCTACCTAAACTTCAAATCATCTCACCCCATCTTAGTTCAAGTAGGCTTAGTCAAATATCCAAGTAATAGGGCAAAAAATCTTGCTGGTAGGACAAAATCTCCGACAACAAATTAAACACATCAAGAATACCTTGCATCTCAATAATGTTCCGACTAAATTTACTAATAAATTCACAAGAAATCGAAAGAAAATTACAAGCAGTAACAATAACACACGCATTAATAATAATTCTAATACTAACAGTAGTAGTATTAGTAGTGGTAGTAATTACGGTGACAAAATGGAGAGAGAATCCAAAGCCTCTCCGATGTTACCATACAAGAAATGTCCATCAGAACCGTTACCAAGAGTTCTCAATAAGACAGGGCTTACAATGGCAATTAAACCGACAAACTAGTCTAGAAACAAGCTTCGTATGAAAAAAGTCCTAGTGATCCGATTAGGCATAATAATTTAGTTTACCAAATCCCTTGCAATGATTGTAAGATCATATACATAGGTGAAAATAGTTAACCAAGGTCCATTAGAATAAGAGCACAAAAGCTTAGCTATATCAAGATTCGTAGATCCCAGTGAGAAGGGATTTGGAGAAAAGCTCGGCTACAGTTATGCACGAAATTACACACAATCACACTATGAGGTGGAATACAGCCACAGTACTAAAAATCTTAGTTGTGTGGATGGAGAGATTGATAGTCAGATTTTTTGTTTACCAAATCACTATCAAATACATGATATGTAAATGATTCTGCACTGATCTCAGTTATGGATACATGGAAAATTCCAATTACCCTTATCACAAACAAGGAGAGATTATGACGATACAAACCATGTCTCAAAGTTGTGGAGTTACCCGGTATGAGTAATGATAATAAACTGTGTCCGAAACGTTATCACCAAGTAAACAATACTGTTTCACTGTAACAATTCCAATAAACAGTGGAACGGGATTGCCTACATTACGTTGAATCTCCAAGTTGGATACACACTGCCATATTATTTCTTAGCATTGCAGATCTGTTTTATACACATGACATTAGCTACGAAGGACTACCCAACATATTTTTAGCCAACGTGAATAATCTTAGACATTGAAAGAAAGCCACTCATAAGGGAAGCAAAACATAAACAGTACCTGACACATGAAAAAGAAACTTGATTTTCCTACCTGAAGCTCCATACACAACATTTCCATTTTTGACCGATAACACCCATCAGTGTTCTGAACATATTTACAGATATTATTCGAGCTGAGAAATTACTTGCAGGTGATCGATTGCTGAGACGGGTGAAGACATCCAGTCGCTAACATTAACATCAGAAAATTTGGTGACAAGTGGTACAGTGGTGCAAGAGACGAGCAAAGGCTTATTCAGTACGGAATGAGCACTGAAATTTGCAACCGCCCAGGCTCCTCCAGCAAAAAATGCCGACGCACTATGAGAATATATAAATTTAATCAACACTCTTATTACCCAAGTACATATACACAACCCTTAATGTACTGCTGACCATAAAGTCGCCAGGAAATTAATGTGCGCATATGCGAAGTTAAGGTCAAATAAACCGCGCTTTACTTTCCAAACTTCAAATGTCGTGTTGAAGAAATAGCAACAATGATTCCTCGGTTCCAACTTCTATCTTAGTGGAACATTTCCATCACATGAAATGGTCAGCTACTTTTTGATCCAGAGGATTCTTGAGGTAAAGGGATAATTATTTTACTAACTATTAGTGCTAATACTCGTGTTTAGTAAGACGATGGGTGTTTCCTGAATAAGACCCATCTGAACCCCAAGACACTAAGTCTGCATCTAACCTCCCTTTGAAAACGACAAGAGATGGGGCTGTGACAACTACGATGAGACAGCTTCATAGTCTGCACCCCTGACTCCAAAAGAGTTAGCTCAGATCATCATCCGAGCTCTCGCATGCTCTACTCCCGAAAGATGACCTCTAAAGTGGGGCTTCCGTTGCAATTTTAGGCGATTTGCCAAGACTCAGAGGATTATGAACAATACGGAACACGACAGTCGTATCTCCTGTTATCTTCCTGGAATGTACGGGATTCAACCTAACAGCGACCAAACGACGCGAATGTTTGTACAGTAGCCTAGTCATTTTATTCGTCGCTTTCCCGTGAGCCTGTTTTGTGATGTCTCTCTTTACCCAGTCCTAGATATATGACTGCTGACCTTATATTTAGGCCAGGGAGCATATACAGTTCTCACAGCGCGGTGAGTGGCGTGGGGTTAAAGTCACCAGGGTACGAGGAGGAAACGCCAGGCTAATTCAGGGTAAGTCATCGATCTTTTTCAGTATTTCAGTGATATATACTTATTGTCCCCAAGTGGTAGAAACTACGACTGTCCTACACTCCTCAGAGTTGGAAAGGAGCAGGTTTTCACTTGTCTAGTCAGCGTTTTCAGAAAGGTCTCGTGTGGGGCCAAGCTATCCCTCCAAACCTTGAAATGATCAGCATATAACAGTGAGTAATAAACTCAACCTTGCTGCTGATCCATTTATGGAGGCAAGACACAGCGGTAGACCAAAGATGGAAACTTGAGTCGCTCCATTCCGCTTAAAAGGCCAGTTGCATAGGGAAGAGCCGACTGTAACCGACTGTAAACAGCCGCCAAAGCAATGCCTAAATCGGCTGAGTAGCTCCCCGTGTAACACCAAAAGATGGAGCTTCGTACATAGAATATCGCTACCAACCTTGCCAAATGCCTTAGGATAGCCAGGTAGCCCAATGTGAATGGCTTTTTTCAGTCCAAGTGAGAGAGTCTGACTGTTCTATGCTACCGACAGGTTGGCGTTGCTTGACCTTCCAGGTAAAAATCCATTTTAGGATTGAGATTCTGAATAAAAAGTCATGAAACGGGACGATGACTGCTCTTTCCATAACCACTGCAACTGAGGAGACCACAGTGATCGGTCTATAGTTAGAGGCAAGTAGTTCATTTCCACCGTGACATACTGTGACGACAGCCAGTAGCCTCCAACCGAAAACAATCTGCCTTCCAGAAAGGGGAACCTGAATAGACATGATGATGGGACATATGGGACGTCGCACACTTTTCAAGTCTTCTCTGGTGAATACCATCAGTTGCTGAGACTTCATTAGGATATAGCCTCCATAACTTGCACGACCTTAAGAGTTTCAAATTCTAAATGATTCAACCCCCCCCCGCACACCTGCATTTTGAGTATCCACCTGGTGTGCAATTTTCCTTTCCATGTGGTACAAGTTTTACTGGGATCCCTGAGCTAGATAGTCAGCTACTTCTCAGTCGGTGTGGCGAGTTACTGAACTTCTAGCATCCTGTATGCTGAGCGAACCGTTAATCTTTTTCATCGATGAGTACAATCCCACCGTGATCCCTAGCCAGTGTTGTACACCTACTGGCCTAGTAGTTTAATGGTTCCTTCTTGACAATTACCGCGCGTCTGTTACGGATGTCCTGGTTACCCTTTGCATTCATGCAAGTTATTAGAAATCCACCATTGGTTCCAAGGTGACATTTTGCATCAAATACGTTTACGAGTACCTAGCTTAAGCCAGTAGATATTTCAGAAGTATTCTTGCTAATTGTCTGAATCGTTGTATCCTCCAACAGTTCTCATACAGCATCCGAGTCATATGAGCAGTCAAAATTAAGTCAGAAAAAACCTTCCAGTTCTCGTCCTGCCTTTCATTAGCAGTTTTTCTATAATCCTTGACTGGTGGTTGACCAGTAGTAGGTGACCCACACAATAATATATATATTTCATACAACATAGGTCCCACGAATACAAACCAGTTTACAGGTTTGATCATTTTGATAATGAGAAATGACCATTATGTACAATGTTAAGCTATACATTAGATACAGTTATTCATGGCATATAAGAGGTGTGTTGAAGCAGGTTCAGTTCGAAATTAGGAATCGTCCTGTTATTGCTTGAATCTTCCAATATTCTTGAAGGTGGGGCCGCATCACAGTCATGACCCTGGGGTGTGTGCGTGCGTCATAAGGTTTTGATGGCAAGGTGCACACTGACAAATGCGATTTCTAGGATTCCATTTGAATGCAGTACAGGTTAGGTAAACCTGCAAAGTGAATAACAAGAGCGAGCAGAAGGCGAAATCCGAGACAGGAGCACAAAAACAAGCGGGAGTAGATCAACCATGATACATCTGGGTGAGCTCTCTGTACTGACTACAAAACTTACCTGAAGAAGTATCCAGAACCAACTGTTTAGAGGTAAGCTTAGGTGGAAGAATATGAAGGTTTTCAAGAAAGCAAGCGCATCATCATTCCATGATGGCTACTGACAACGAAAAATGCAGACGCTTTGATCTTGCTCGCAACATTCAACAAGGTTGTGGAACTTTGAAGTGAGCTGGCACGAACGCACATGAAATCCATAGTTCCAGGATCAGTGAGGCATAACATCTAGATCCTTCACCCTGCTTGTCTGAGAGCCAACAGAGGACCTTCGGCACTGAGGTAAGCATGAAAAATCCCCGTCAGTGTCCGAGCCATTCGGCTTTCAGACACGGATTGAACAGTGGCAGTTTCTTCAACCTCCAAGGTTGACGCGCGCTCCTTGAATAGTGACGTGTTTCGCTCGTCTCTCGGCTTTTGGATTTTTCCACAATGAAAAACTCCCACTTACAATACTCAATCTAAAAACATCGAACGTTTGCAGCACTTCTGTTTCTGCACGCACCTCACCCCTGCGTATTCGTCAGCTCACTTCTCAACAGTTGAAAATTGGCATTATTATTCCTTTGAACCAACCGGTCTACCTCCTGTCAGTGGTTCTTGGGCGTTTCAACTGCCAAACTGCCTTAGCTCTCGGTTCTCCTCGGAGGTCATTCCCCAGGAAATATCTTTCCTGGTTATACATACGCATCTGGAGCTTACGGTTAAACTCGTTGGTCAAGAGCAGAGGATCAAGTGACAAGTGTCTGAAGGTGAGCCAACATAAATTATCTTCCCTTTTCTATTCTGTCCTTTTGCTGCATTCAGTCTTCAACCCTCTTATTGTTGTTAACTACTTGTTTTCCCAAGAAGTTTATATCATAGCGACATGTCTGCCCAAAACGCTAGGTCTGAAGCTTTGACACGGATAACGCGGTCGTGCACAAAAACGGCCAAAACACCCTAGACAACACACTAGTCTGTACTAGAAGACAAACAGAGGTAGGGCAGAACACCGAACTTCTAAAGAAGTGGCCAACCCATGTTTCTAGAATTCCAGTAGCCATCAGACAGGTGACACAGAGTAGCACTAGCCCGTCACAAACTAGTCCTATCTTGAGCAAGGATCATACCATGCCTGGAAATAGAAGACGACGTAAAAGGCTTCAGAACAAGGCAGCCACAAGCAGTTCGCCACAATCCGTAGCACCTTATTCATGCAAGGAAGGCTGTATTACGACACCCGATGGCTGCAGTGTTTGCACCAAAGTTGTTTCGGTAGTCGATGAGGCATTTGCATGCAACCTATGTCAACGATGGGCGCATTGCCACTGCGACACCAAAGTCCCCCGACAATACTATAAGCTGATGAAGAGACAACCATGCAAGTGGTTCTGGTACATCTGTCCAGAGTGCAGGAAAATGCCCGCACTCGCACAGAAAGCCTGAAGGAGATGCTCTCCGCCACGCAAAAGCTACCAGCACCCTCGAATAAAGTAGGGTTAACACCAAAGATAACACAGAGAGACCTGGAAACAGACCTAGAGCTCCAGCTGTGGGGACCATATTAGGTCAAGTCTCCATACCTCCTACCCGGCCCCAGGGGACGTCAAGCGTATGGCCAAAGACATCGACCGCTAAAGCCTCTACGAAACCCATTCCAAACACCCCACACACCGTGACTGAGAAACAACCAGTGGAATTACTCAAACCCATTGGGAAGTCGGGCGTGCCACCCACAACGAACCCAGGTCACAGGAGGACCAACTCGATCATTTTGTTCAACGTCGATGTATCGACAGACTCATTGTTGGTCGAGAGGGAACGGTTTGACAGCCGAATGTGGACCGACTACTGTCAGATGCTAGGACTCCCTCCCCTCCCTGCAACTTTATGTCGCCTTTCTCGAGGAAGCCGTGCACCCCGAGATAAGCCACCCCCTTTACGTGTGTCCCTAAATACCCAAAGAGGCTGAAGACACACTCCTTCTCTCGCGACAACCGGACGTTGTTAATGCCTGTAAAATTCGGGCCAGGCCTGACAAGCCATGGTCAATAAGAGAGGAGGAGAGAAAGTCAGCGGTTGGAAATCCCAACAGAAACAACACTATAGTTGTACATGGGATTCCAGAATTGCCAAGTGACCGCTCGGTCAAAGATCGGTACTTTCACGACGTCCAACAATGGCAATGGCTCTCAACCAAAGTTGGTCTCAACAGTATACCGGCCAACAGCGTCAGTAGACTGCCAAGGCCAGCGCACCTGAAGACCATACCCAATCCCAGACTACTCGCCGTCCAGTTCGACTCATATGCCTCCCTCACAGACGTTCTACAGGCATGGTATAATGCGAA